ACAAGAAGCCTACTTTGAACATCAGGGTGGTCTACTAGTCATCATTGTAACTGTTGTCTGGCTCCCTGCATCTGCCAACTTATTATGAGGAATTTCTCCAGAGCCTTCTGCCGCTGCACACTGTGACAGCTAGCTGACGAGAAAATCGTAGATAAATGAAGGAAAACGAAATTATTCTGAAAACAACGTGTTTTAAAAAAACTGTATTTCATTTTCTGTTCATCTTAACTTTCAATAGAATACTAATAACTCGCTTTCTGACATTTGACGACTACAATCTTTGCAATACCTAACCAAGGAATGCATTAAGAAGCTTCTGAATCAAATTTTATCTGACATCGTGTGGGTGAGATGGCACCGTGACTACTGCAATTGGGACCCAATTATTTGTACAAAGGCAAATAAAAAATCTCAACTCATCCATTTGGTATCGCGCTTGTCCTCATTTGGGTCGCAGATGAACTGCTGCTGGAGATCTTAGCTGGCAACAATTCGCATTCACACGAATGTACAGTTACAGTTTTCTACAGTTAACCAAACGTGTTTTTTTTAAAGGGACAGTGTGTCGAAGTTTTGGATTCGTTCAAATTCATTCATTTTTAAAAATACACTAGAAATTTCAATAAAATGAACAAAAATATGTGCTCAGTCACATTAATCGTACGTTTAGCAATCATGAATTATATCACACGGGTTGCACCTCACAGGAGGCTGAAATGTTTCGCCGCCATGTTTTCTGCTAAGGATACATAGAGACAATCACCAAATCACAAAATTGCTGCATGAACAACTACAGCCTGTGTACCAATGCGTTAATTCGTAACTTGAGGGAATACTAAAAGTCATTTATTATTACTTGCCAAGTGCGGTCTCTCCAAGGCACTGTAGTGCACGTTTCATAATGCACGCGCTTCAAACTTAGGTCATTGCATTCGGTACCATTTTGCGCACTGCACTTTTAAGGATGTGGGAGGAAGCAGGCACAAGCCGTGGGAGCAAATATGCTGTGCTTCGAGTATTTTAAAATGAAAACTCACAATTTAAAAAAAAAAAAGGTTAAGGCCAGTTCCGACTGTTTTTATGACATCATCTTTTACAGATATATGTGGGGAGTTTCATGTGTCTTGTTTTATGAAATCAAGCTAAAGACTCGTGACGTATGAGCGATCCTGTATGCAGAGGGTAATTAGGCAAGGACGGGAATTCTCACCCATTTTAATACTGCACTTACAATTGATGCCTAAAATATCATAAACCGTTGTCTCCAAAAGCTAACGGGAGGCATAGCCGAATCTGAGAGAGTCTTTTCCTGTTGTACCTTTAATTCAATAAATTATACGACTCAACCTGTGTACTGTGTGTCTGTATAGTCATTGTCAGACCAGCTACACACAGAGTTGGCAACTCGCACCCACACACCTGGCAAGTGAACATAACACACACCAACTGGGAACTAATGTTGATTGAAAAAACAAAAAATACGGCGCAACAGTTCACTTGCATTAGGCCGCTTCCCTCGGTGCACCATGGTCATAAGGTCGAGCAAAATTGAAAGTACACTATACAAAATGTCAGAGGTTCATTGGTGAACAAGCAGGGACACAACTAATCTTGAATATCTGAATCAAACTGACAAAGTGAAAATGTCAAGCAATCTCCTGTGTTGTCATGTTTGTTCTTTTCCAAGCACTCGTGCCAGCACTTCAATCAATGATTACGGGGACTACTGTCCACTGCGGTTTACAATTTTATTGTTTTCAAATTTTTAAAAAACATGTCATGTTACCAAGCAGTTCCAATGTGCGAGTATGGTAACATATTAACTACTATAATGGCTAAAACATTGATCTGTGATGATCCCATCAATTTATGATTAAACTGAGGGGGTGCGGTCAGATGAGCAATCTGGAATCTGTCAGCACCTTAACTCCCTTGGTCGGGAATTCCTTCTTTATCCTGGCCACTTTGGAGCAGTTCCACATGGAAAGTACTGTGCAGTGGAAACTGGCAACAAAAAAAACCCTTCTGCACTCCACAAGATGTCCAGATTTGCATTCCTTCCTTGTGACACAAAAGCAAGGGAGAACACCATAATTTGACCAAGAGGGGATGCACTTTTGACTCAGGGAGGTGGTGTGAGTGATGCAAAAAGAAGCTTACAAACTTGGGAAGTGGCAAGAGAACTAATATGAGAAAGGATAAGTGAAAGAAAGAGGAACTTTTTTTTTTTTTTTTGCATGGACAACAGAGATATTTCAATAAAATGTCGACAAAAGCTTCGTGGCTTCAACTGTTTCCCAGAAAGGTAAGGAAAACGTGAAAACAAATCTCATTTTCCTGTCCAGCCTTTTTTATTATCATAACATGACTGAGCAACCTTGGGTCCTTTCACCTAAGTGGGAGGAGAGAAGGCACATAGAGACGATTGAGGTGGTTTCGTGACTTGTGAGGGATAATGAGGAGGTAGGCAAGTTCACCAGAGTAGGGATATGACTTGGGGAGGTGGGGGGCATAACTGCTGGCTTCTCAACAGTAGCATTCTTTCACACTTGCTGGAAGCAATCAGTAACTGGGGCAAGAGTGAAAATCTGAGCTCCTTGTGTTTGTTTTGGCTGCAACTTCCCCTATACCTCAACTTCTCCACCTTCACATGCAAAAGCCTCATTTGCTCACGTAGTTGCAAGAAGCCGACCTTCCCGTCTTCAAACACCTCCCTCATCCAATCGTCCACTCCAAATCACCTCAACGTAGTTGCCTGATTAATGTGTAAGTAATGTTCTCGATTTCACCTGATGTAAGTCAAATCAAGACAATAAAGGAAAGTAAAAAGCGAATGTAGGACACTGATGTTGAATGTAAAGTTGGCAGGTGAGGCGCTTTCCTTTTCTTGGACGAGTATCCATTTAAATAGATTTATGCAAAAGACCTAATGCCAGGCAAAGTCCAGAAAAGGATTTTATATATCCATCCATCCATCCATTTTCTGATCCGCATCATCCTCACAAGGATTGCGGGGCATGCTGGAGCCATTACCGTAGGTAGGGTCAAAGGGCAAATGTTGAATTATATTCAGCATGGACATAGCCTGTCAGCCTTATTTGTACAGTATCTTGGGGGGCTAAAAATGCTCACCTGAATGTTTCATTATGTCCTAAGTCTTGGTAATCATAATGTAAAAAAAAAAATATATATATATATATGTATGTATGTATAAATAGATAGATCTAGATATATGCATGCAGTCTCACGATGAGCTATTTATGTGCCATTTATCCAGTAAAATATGTTTGGGGCCAACAATTATTAGTTGGGGAGTCCAGGGTTTGATGTCACACTTATCACACGTTTATATATTTCTTGAGAATCAATCAATCATATCTGAACAAAATGTGCATCAGATGAAAGACCATATTCTCAGGTATGTACCAACTCAATTCCAATTAAGTTGGGACATCGTGTTAAACATGAATAAAAAAGAAAGACTGACAAAGTTGTAAATCGCTCATCAAACACAGGCGAACAGGCAAACTGAAAACTGGCGGGGGCCATTATTTGGTCGAAAAGGAGCTTCCTTGGGGAAAAAAAATATATATATATATATA